CCCTGCCTCGCGAGGCCAGCACCCCGGGACGCCCTGCCCTCGGCCCACACGAGTACCCCCCTCCCCGGAACGGGCCGCTGCCAGCAGAGGGCGCCCAGAGGAGCCGCGGAGGGCGGCCCTGCTCCGCCTCCCCGAGCAGCGAGATGGTCACCCTGGAGGAGTTCCTGGAGGAGAGCAGCCGCAACTCGCCCCCCCAGGTGAGCCCACACCTCCCCACCCCAGGTGCGGGGCGGGGGGGCCCAGTGCCACGTGGCAAGATGAGTTGCCCAGTGCCAAGAATGGGAGGAGGTGGGGGGCTGTGTGACCATCTGGCCAGTGACAGACTGTGGCAGACCCCTGGTACCTGAGTGCCCATGGGGGTCCAGCAGAGCGGTGGGCGGTGGGTATGCACAGTGTTTGTCCAGCTGCCCCGCTCACCTTGGGAGTGTGAAGGCAGCTGTGGGCCAGGTGTGCCTGGCTGTGTCCCTGTGGCTCTCCTGGGGTACCTTGAGAGACAGGGGAGGAAGAGGTCAGTTTCAGGCTAGCAGCTCTGCTCGGTGGGAGGAGAGAGACCGGCGGGGGTGCTGGGCCTGGGCCTGGGTCTCTCCCAGGTTGAGCAGCGTGGACGAGGCCCCTTTTCTCCATCTCTGCCCAGGTGTAAAGTTAGGGGCTTCTGGCTGCCCTAAGTGGCATCTTGGATCCTTTCTACAATGACCCATGTTCGTCCCCTTCCTGACCAGAGGCTGCAGGGGCACCTGTTAGCTCTGGAGAAGCCCAGTAAGAGGTGCCTGGCACCTGTGTGGGGCAGCTCCTCATGGGTTCGCCTGGGGTTCACGCCTGCCTCTCTGGCCCCCCTTCTCTGTAGGACACGCCCAACTGCCGGGACGACCTGCTCAGTGACTACTTCCGGAAGGCCAATGACCCCCCAGCCATCGGGGGCCAGCCGGGACCTCTGCCCAGGAAGGACGGGGATAAGATGCCCACCAGCCTGGTGGTGCCCACCATTAAGGCGCTGGCCGGCCCCTCAGAGGGGAGGCCACTGAAGCCTGGCCAGTTCGTGCGGCCCAACTTCCGGATGGCTGAGGTGGAGGCCCCGCCACCGGCTTCCATGAAGCAGGCCCCTCAGAGCCTGTCCCTGGGCAGACCCCCGAGGCAGGCCGCCTTGCCCCCAGCCCACACGCCCCCCAGCCGGAGTGCGTCTCTGAACCGGGCCTTCAGCCTGGCCTCGGCCGACCTGCTGCGGGCCAGCGGGCCAGAGGCCTGCAAACAGGAGTGCGCTCGGAAGCCAGGGGGCCCCGAGACCTCCGGGGGCAGAGAGGCAGGCAGCCCCACTCCCCCCAGCGCCCACACCCTGGCCGTGGGGAAGGCCGGCAGCTCCTGCCAGGGCTCGGGCCCCCGGAGCCGGCCGCTGGACGTCAGGCGCTTCTCACTGGCCCCACTGCAGCAGTCAGCTGCGGCCTCAGCCAGCTCCAGCGCAGGGGCCGGCGCCAGCAGCCCCCAGGCCCAGCTCTTCCCGGCTGCCAGGACTAAGCCCAAGACACCCCCCCACGCCGGAGAGGTGGCCGCCGTCGCCCCTGTCCGCGCAGGGCTAGGCCTTTCCGAGGGGGACGGGCTCCCGGCTCAGGGCTACAGCGAGGGGCTCCCCGCCAAGAGCCCAGGGCGGGCTCCCGACCCAGCCCCCCATGCCGGCCGGGGCCCGGAGGACTTCAGCCGAGGGGCCAGCTCCAGGAGCACGCCCGTGTCCCCCGAGCCGGGCGGGGACGCACAGACGGTGTGGTACGAGTACGGCTGCGTGTGACATCCGGGCCATCCTCGCTGTGGCGCCACTCTCTGCTCACAGCAGCGGCCGTTTCTCCTTGCCAGTGTAGCTGGGAACGGGAAGAAGGGGTCTCCCCCTCTCCCCACATTTCTCTGATGGTCTTTTGAATGAAAACACTGTGCCAAGCCCTCCGAGGCTCAAGCTCCCAGGTGGACGCGAACCTTCTGCGTCTGCAGCCCCCTCACCCATCGCTTTGCACCGATCTGCTTTCCTGTGGGGACCATGTAGCTGGCAGGGATAACACTGACCGCCCCCCCCGCCCCCCGCCTTCCGACACTAGGCTTCACATGCCCCCGAGAACACTCCTACGCACCTTGTTGACCTCTGTGCACATGCACACGCTGCAAGGCTGGTCCCTAGAGGGTCTGGGAGGCCCCTCTCCCTTCCCTAAGCTGCTGGAGAAGACCCCAGACAGGCCAAACTACAGTGCTCTCGGCCCAGCGACGAAGGTAGGGGCAGGGTCCCTGCCCCGCTCCTGGCGCCCCAAGCACCTGCAGGAGCTCCCGCAGCCCCTGCTCTCTACAGGGTGGACTGGGCGGTGGGTCCCTCAGGGACCTCCTGCTCACTTTTTGATAAACACTGGACGTGCTGGGGATGACGGGTGGGGTGCCGAGAGCCCCCTCCCTTGCTCCCTGGTGGTGTACATAGTGTATAGAGGGGAACTGTGCCCAAAGGGTGCCACCCTGGACCCGGGACCTGGGCTGCGAGACACTCTCCTAACCCTAATCTCAGAGAGGAGATGGACTTACTACTTCTGGCGGGTAGAAACCAAATTTGTTTTAATATATTCCTTGTATGCACTCTCGCACAGCTGTGTGAGAGATACACACCTGTGGGTCTATTTATGTTCCATTGAGAATCCCCTCTTCTGTCAGGAGCCTGACTTGCTGCTTGGTGGAGGTGCCAGGTTCCTGGCCACCGGAGCTTCCCATTTATTAGGAAAGGTGCTTTTCCTGGGATGAACCAAACCCATCGCTAAGTTGTTTTGGTTTTGTTCTGTTGTTTGTTTTAAAGAGATGTTTCTTTCCTTTTGACTTAACGGACCGAGACAGAGGCGAGGGCCTTTTGAATGTCAACACGCTCCGTTCCAGGAGTCTCTGGATCGCAAGGACAGGATTGTAATAAAAGACACGCAAAGAGAAGCGGGGTCCAGGCCTCCTCCCTTCACCATGCTCTTTCCAAACCACGTCCTCACGGCAACGTTGTCCCTGTATCCATTCGATTCCTAGGAGCCCGTGAGGACAGAGTAGGACTCCCCCCCCCCCCCCAGGGGATTCCAAGGTGTCCGTCATCACAGAAGCAGACAGCCTCACCTTTTGCTCATGGGGCAGCTGGCGGGTTCGAACTGCTGGCCCTCCGGTGAGCAGCCTTCCACTTAACCCGCTGTGCCACCAAGGCACATTATTCACTATGCCAAGCAGGCTGCTGGGGAGCTCCTGGGCCTTCCTGGGGTGTTGGAGATCCCAGCTGACTCTGCTGCTGGGTTCTGGGAAGCTGTTGGCAACAAATGGACAACTGCAAAGACAAGGGTGTCCTGTTCTGGGTTCACACTTGATTGATGTCAGCCGAACCCCGCATGGCGGTGGTAAACGACCTCCTTCTGATAATCTCCAGGCCAGCCACCTGGGATTTGGACTATCAGGGACTCAAAGCATGCTTAAACCAGCTAGATGATTGATTGATTGATTGACTGATTGATCAGTAGGTAGGTAAACTGAAACACTCTGAGGGGTGGCTGGGTGATTCTGACTCAGCGGCCCTGCAGGAGAGTAGACCTGTGCTCCATCTCCTGTGCTCTCAGGGCTCCTGGGGTGCACTGGTGCACACATGACCCGGCTTGTGGGAATGTTTTCCCACCCAGCTGCTTTCTCAACACCTTTCTCCTTTCTACGAGCTTCTGGGAACTGCCTGTCCACCATGAGGCAGGCTGAGGGGTGTGGCCCGCGCAGGATGACACCCCAGCTGCTCACAGCTGGAAACCCAGAGCCTCCACCCCATGTCCTCCTGTCCCACTGCGTCACGTCTCCGTGGTCGGTGTGTGAAAGCCTCCTGTGTCTTGGGTCCCACTAGGGACTGCCACTCCTCCCTCTGCATCCCTTCCTAACCACCACCACCCCCTCCCAGGCACGTGGGCGTCTGTCTGCCTGCACGCCGAACTCTCCCAGGCCCCCACGTCACCTCCAGCCCTGCTCTCCTTGGCCCTCAGCCCCCTCCCTGTCTGGGCTGCAGACTCCCAAACAACTCCTGCAGCTTGTTTCTCAGCCCCCCCAACTCCGACAAAGGCGCCGCCTTGCAGCTCCAGGAACCTGGGTTGTAGATGGGACCCCTTCTCAGCCTCCCACAGCTCCTAGATCACGCCGGGCACCTGGCAACGCCTGTCAGTCCAGCGTTCTCACCCATGGGCACCCTTCCAGCCCTGGTGATGCCAACTGGTCTTGCCTTAGACGCTAGGTTCCCCGCCTGACCCTCCCAGCCTGTCCCCTCAGCCACTCCTCTGTCTCTAGCCCACTGCAGTAGGACAGACAGCAGGAGAGATCACAGTGACCCGCATATTACTGAGTCCAGGGGAACTTCTGAGCCCTCCTCATCGCCTCGGAAGGATGTTCACCCCTGTTGTCTGCACCTTGTCGAAGTGTTCTCCCACCCTTCTGCAGACTGAACCCACCCTACTCGGTGACCTCAGGGCGCACCCACGCCCTTGCTTCCATCTCCTACCCTAGACAAGCTCTCACACAGCCACAGCTTTAATTGCAGTGTACTTAGAGATGGCGCCAAATTTATACCCGGCTTCCTCCAAGCCGGTCCCAGGACACCTCAACCTCAGACTTCCCGACACTCAACTGACCCCATCCGTCCCCGGGCCTCCGCCTCAACAGGCCTGGCCTGCACACCGCCCCCTCCCAGGACCCGCCCAGCAGGTTTCCCCTCGGACTTCACCAGGTCTACCCCAATCTCAGCGGGGGTCCTTGCTGGGCAGGACTGCAGGGTCCTGTGGCCACAGGCAGCACCTGAGTCCTGTTCCTTCCAGGACCCACCCTCACTGCACCCTTGCGGGGCGTGGGACCATCAGAGGAGCAGCTGGGTGGTCATGCCGGAAGGTCTCGCTGGAGAGAGATCTGGGGTCCGGGAAAAAGGGTTCACCCCAAGGAGAACATCCAAGCGAAACAGTATCCGACACGCCTGGCGTTCTGCCAACGTTCAGCATCCCACCATGTGTTTACCAGCAGGCTCTCCGGGGTGTGCACACACACAGCTAGGTATGCACACACATACATATGTAACTATAGCAATATAAACTTGCAGTGGTATTGTCTTATCTAGTGCTGCTCCCACCCCCCCGCGGATGGCTTTAATGCATTTTTCTCACCGTTTGGAAGGCGCGAAGTTCACGGTTAGGGCCCTGGCTCCAAGGAGGCTTCTGCTGGGGCTGAGGAAAGCTCTCCTCCAGACCCTGTCACTTCCTTGGAGACACCCGCCGTGTGGCACCTCTCACCACCACCCTCCCCCCACCCCTGCCGAGTGCTTGCTGTCTGTGCCATTGGCCCCGCATTAACATAAACACACTCCCAGATGGGATTTGGGCAAAATCCGATCCACAGCCACTGTTTATTATAAAACCCAGCGAGTTGAGTCTTACAGAAAGCCTTCATTTATCTCCTTCAGGGCCCGAATTGTTTTCCTAGCCAAGCTTCACCTGCTGTTAGATGCCTGTGAATCAGCTCTGACCCACAGCAGCCTTGCGCATAACAACAAAACCACCGTGCTCACCGTGGGTCCTGTGCCTGAGCCCACTGTTTACCGTCCGTTACAGCCGACCGATGCGTGTGAGTGGTTGGATGTTAGTTGGCAGTTTCCTTTCAACAAGAAGAAAGTGAAACGTAGATGTTTGTCTGAACTCTGCTCATTCACTCGGAATAGGAGGTCTTGGCTGAATCAGGTAGCAGATGTTGAATACTGTTGAATATATCCCCAATTTTTTTCCAGGGGGAACTGTCAACGCAAATCTCTACACTTTATCCTGGATGACGGGTTATGGTACAAATGTTCACCAGTGCTGGGCAGGCACTGGGTGATTTTTTTCTGAAAAAGGAAAAGAGGCCACATGCTTAGAACAGTGAGGAACGCATGAGTCAGCCCTGGCGGGTCACCTGTGTGATTTCTCAGGTAATGCATTGACCTTGACCCAACTTGCCGCCACTAGAGCTGCAGTAGGAAGACCTGCCCCACGTTGTATTATCCACCCCACCCCCCCAATAATAAAGAGCCCAGTGGTGCTGCTGGGTAAGCTCTGAACGGTGAACTGCAAGGCTGGTGGTTTAAACCCACTCACTGCACCTTGGGAGAAAGAGAAGGCGCTCTGCTCCCATGAAGACAGACTGTCTCAGAAACCCCATCTGTAGAGGGTCACTATGAGTCAGAATCGACCCAGTAGCAGTGGGGTTGGATGCCGATACAATAGGTGTAAAAACCCCAAGAACAATTCACCGCCAACGAGTTGATTCTGACTCAGGGACCCTGTAGGGCAGAGTAGAACTGCCCCTGTGGGTTTCCATACGCTGTAAAATTTAATAGATCCCATCAGCCTCACCTTTCTCTCACAGAGCAGCTGGTGGATTTGAACTACTGACCGTGTAGTTAGTCAGTGTGTACCGCACTATACCTGCAGGGCTTCTCCCTGGGAATCATCGGGAGGTGATGAGCTTGGAGTTCTTTGAAGAACTTCATTGAACATTGATGTCCTTTAACGTTGAAGGATGGCTGCGTGAGTAACGACCCACCTGGGAAATTTGACAGCCTGGAGTGAAGGAGTGCCTTGGAAAGACCCCCATCCAGGGAGGGGGAAGAAGTGGGGTGTGTGAAGAGGGCCGGGGAGCTGTGCCGCGCTGGCCAGGCTGAGTGCTGTGGGTGTTTGTAGAGCCCACGCTGCAGCTGTTTTCTTGGGTATTTGCCACTCAGTTTTGTCCACCCAGCTAAGAGTGGGTGCCCGAGGGTTCGGGAGCAGAACCACCCCGCTTCCCTCAGACCCTGGTTCCCCCAGACTCAGCCCCTGAGGGTCTACAAAGGAGGGTTCTTGCCTTCTGACCAAGAATGACCACAAGAGGCGTTTTCGAGTCGTACGCTCACCTGCTTGAAGGGCTCGGACAGGAGCGCTTCGGAAACCCCTCGCTGTTGAACACTTGAGGGAGGTTTTGTGCGACTGATTTACCCGAGGTGATGCTTGTTCCTTTTAAATCTCGACTGCGCTTCCACGAGCATTGATGGTGGATCAATGACAGCTCCAGTCCTCTCTCGGTTTATCATGATGCCACCTATTGGGCCAGTTTCTCACGACGCTGTCTATCGGTCAGTGGTTAGGATTTGGGTTCTCTTGACGGTGAGCTGTCATCCCTACTGAGGGCTGCAATCCTTGACCTTCATCAGCAAGGGCGTCAAGTCCTCTTCACTTTCAGCAAGCAAGGTTGTGTCATCTGCATGTTTGACAGAGGTTCTCAACCTGTGGGTCGCGACCCCTTTGGGGATCCAACAACCCTTTCACAGGGGTCTCCCTAGTCATCATAGTAGCAGAGTTAGTGATGAAGTAGCGAAGATAATCTGATGGTTGGGGGTCACCACAACATGAGGAACTGTATGAAAGGGTCGCGGCATGAGGAAGGTTGAGAATCACTGATAGTGAAGGTTGTTAATGAGTCTTCCTCTGGCCGTCATGCCACATGCTTCTTCATACAGTCCAGCTTCTCTGATGGTTTGCTCAGCATCCGGATTGAATATGCATGGTGAGGGGTACAACCCTGTCACACCCCTTTCTTGATTTTCGACCATGCGGTACACCCTTGTCCTGTTCACAGAACTGCCCCTTGATCCACGTGCACGTTCCGCAGAGCACAGGGCCGTGACTGCAATGTCCGTTCTTCCCAAGGTTGTCCACAGTGTACTATGAGCCACATGGCCAAATGCCTTTGGATAATCAGTAAAACACAAGTCAGCGTCTTTCTGGTTTTCTCTGCTTTCAGCCAAGGTCCACCTGATGTCAGTAAAGCTTTATTTGTGAAGAAAAGCCATCGGGGTGGGGATGAGGAGGGTCCAGACACCATTACCCTCTGGCCCCCACCTCTTGGAGCATTCAGGGGTTTTATCCCCTCCA